GCGGTTGTTGGGGTTGTGACAGTTGGAAAGAGTTCACAGAGGCATCCAACACACGTTTGATTGAGTCAACATGGCCGGAACAGTCAAATCTTCCAGGGTTGATATTCATGGCTGTATCTTACCTTGACTCCTACAGCTTGCCTCAGTCACCAACTTTCCTCCTAAGCTGACAACCGGAGGGACATCATTTTTGAATATGACATTCCGCATCCCGAAAACTACGCCTTGCATCTCCACGGGCTTGAAGAAAATCTTTTTATCTCCGGGTGTTCTTTGACGTTAGCTTTTTTTCACTGGCGACTGTGTTTCTGAAATTCTGGAACAAATGTCGGAAATGTCGGTGCGCGTGTCTGCTCGGTTGCTGTCATTGTCGTCTGCTTCGGTCTCGCTTGTCATTGTCACATCTAAGGTAACTGCCTGCAGCCTGAGCAACGCTTCAATCGGTGGAGGCTTTTGTATGCTTCTCTTCGGGGATTGTTTCGAGAAATGTGCGGACACGTTCGGAAAGAGACGCGTGACACAATGTGTCTTAGTTACTAGACCTGGCCATCAGGACCGTATCTCATCGACGACGTGCGAGTAGTTATGCTAAAAATCGTCGGGGTAAAAATGCAAATGTAGACAGCTGAGTTGTGTAAAATTGGATATATATATATATATTTTTTTTAAGACCGCGTTGTATATTAATTTTAGGCGAATAGCATTTTTCGGGGATGTAAAGTGGCACTTTTCTTTACTTTTTAAGGCTTGTGGGCAGTACCCGCTGCTACAGCCGGTAGCGCACCAGGTTTTCATGCTTGCTCAATGATTGGCAAACGACTGGAAACTCCAGGCGCCAGAAAAGAACCCTTAAGGGGTATTCACACGACGGAGAAATCCCGGGGATTTTTCCCCGACACGCGCGCATCACGAGATGAAAACGCGAGGCTTTTGCACATCGCAAAGCCTGGCGTTTTAGTCGTGGGATGCGCGTACCGGGGAGAAATCCCCGGGATTTCTCCCTCGTGTGAACACCCCTTTACGAGCCTGAGTCGAGCTACCGTTGACACGAGTGAAAACACGAGGAACAACAGTGAGCACGAGGCACCAGCGGGGATTTACCTTAGGGCGACTACAGCGCACCTGTTGCGCGCTCTATGGTGTCACACCGGGAAGTGACCCCCTCTAGTAACGCTGACCACAAGTAAACACTTCCCCAACCAGTTTGGGGCATGGGTGCCAAACTACTGGTGACTTTCTTGAGGCTCATTACGATACTACCAAGTAAACAATATATGCTCTGTACGTTCGAGATGTCAGTACCTCACGAGGCACGAATTAGATAGGGCGTTTGCATAAGCGTTTATTTCGGAGTGTCGTCCAATCAATTTCTTAGGCCAAGTTTGGCTCCTTTGGATCGCGGACATTTTTTCATGGGGCTTATGGACCGCCGCTTCGTACCGGTAAGCTTTTGTCTTTAGACCATCGAAGCTGAAACAAATCAAGAAAGTATGAAGAGAAGATCAGAGAACTAGCGATCAACTACCTTTAACTTGTAAAAGTGATGGTGCCCGATGAAATACAGTGTCATTACTACCATTGCTTGTTGATCGTGAAACTGCTTTTTCAGCCAAAGGTCTATACTGTGTTACTAATGCCACGTAAAAGCCGAAACTTGAGCCTACAATTTAACGTTGAGGCTTCTGTGTCCGTACGCATTTTAGACATATTGTTGAGAGTACGGACATCGACAGACATTATAAAATATGCACAATGGTGCATATTCATCGTGATATCTCCATCCGCTCAAGAGATCTCCCCCCAACAAGATGATTATAGTACGTTCGATGCTAACATGACTTCAACTGCGCCGTCATACAGTGACATGTCTCGCATGTCCAATGCGGCCGCGGCGATGGGGCGATTTTGAGCGAGCGAGGCATTAATCGAACAAAAGAGTTTCCTACAAAAGCGTTGCGACAATCTGCAGGAACGAAAGCGACCTCAAATCAGTTCGGTCACTTGTGTACTATCTATAGTTTTATGTCGATTACGTCGTGCTGAAATATTCGTTTTTTTTTTTTCGATTCATTTGTGAGTAACCCATACATGCGTTCCACTTAATACTCGTATTTTATCCCATTAATTTTGTGACTTACAAATAAAATTCGATACATCCGTTTCATTTCATTAGACTCGGTGTGTATACGCTGCCACGCCAAAAACTTGCGGTCAAGTACAAAGCCTACCCGTTGTTCGCTTCGCGGATCGTTCATCTGCGTTCTTGCTGTCTAATACAGCGATCTGATTGGCTGCGAGTCACAATGAGGTGCACGGGACTCGTTCCCCCATCCCCCCTCCCCCTCCCTTCGTTTTTCAAGTTGTCAGTGACTTGTGGCAGGAAAATTTAGGCCCACATGTTTTTCGTTTTTTTTTTTTTTCGTTTTCATATGACGTTTTCTTGTGGTTACTTTGAAGGCTGTAAATGCCATTGGGTGACTGGCGTCAGTATTTTCTCAGTGTTCCCGAACACTGACGACGTGCTCTTACCGGCTGCTTTCGAAAGCTGCTGCTTCCTGCTCAAGGGCTCTTATTAATTTTTATATATTCCAATGTATAGATCTTTGGAAAGACCGTCTTCTGCGCTCTGCCATCTTTGTCTGCTGGGCTGTGGAACGCCTTCTGAGCATGCGCTGTTGCTCTGCTGTGCGGTAGATTAGACGCTGGGCGTGCGTTCAGAGCGCAGTGACTCAGCATTTTTCGCCCGGATGATAACCGATGCAAAGGTATATACGTTTTCCGCCGTGATATGTAGTCTCGATCCTCTGTCGTTTTCCGCAGCTATTTTTGAGCAGTGCCACGTTTTACTGGTGTTTCCGTTTCACTGGAGGTTTAAAGTAAGTAAGAACAATAAAATAATACTTTCCGTAGCGGGAATGTGGATCTGGTGAAAAACATATACATCTCGCATCTGGTTTGCACCGGATGCGAGGCTCATTATTTTTGTAGGCTCACGTTTCTTCGTTCTTTTTCTGCGTTGATGTATGAGTTTTAACGATGTTAAGCGTGGGTAGACGCCCGACGTTGTTTGTGAGGTATATATAGAAATAGGTTCGTTGCACGAGCGTGCTTACTATTCACAACAAATAGTCGGAAACATTTATAAACTAAGACACGTGTTAGAGAAAGACGAATGGTTTCGTTGTCTGACCCTACTCCTTAGCTAAACTATACATATGTAGAATCGTATGGTATTGTGGATTTCCCGTGCGCTTTGAGGAGTATGATAAAGGAGTTTTTGTCAGTTGTTTTGGGGGTACACGGTTGTAATACAACGAGTGGCTCGTCTGTACCAATTTGTGAAACTGTATTGCAATCCCACGTGTTTTAGTGAACCGTATACCAACGCAGTTATGTAGGCGAGGCAATTAATGGCGCTTAACTAGCAGCACCATCTTGCAGCCTTCTTTGTGCGTTTACTCAGTACCACTTAAAGGGCGCTTCAAGATCACCTTCTCATTTTGTGTTGTATTCCAGCTGTCGTTGAGGGCAAGGCTGCCTGCCCGGTGGTAACATGACACAGACGGAGAAACTTGCTGAGGGGCTGAAAAGATAACTTTCTGTCAGGATTATCTTTACCTGCGGTCTTCTCGCTCGTTGCGATTATAAAATTGATCTTCCGACATTTTTTTTTTTGTACGAAAATATTTGTAATGAACATGCCTATTGTTACAGTTTGGGAGTAATTTGTATTTTAAAAAATACTAACTCTGAAACTCTATTTTTTTAAATAGACAGTTACTTGCCGGAAAAAACTGTAACTGAAATATAATATATTACTCAAGCAGTTAAACGACATTGCATTTTGTAGAGTTCTTGAGTCACGTACAAGCCTGCAGGGACGTGAACCAAGGCCAAGGTGACATTTGCAGGTAGGAAGTACAAAACCTTGCAGGTAGGAAGTACAAAACCCGGCTTTTGGAACATTTTTGCATTAAAACCTTGAGAGATTGACGCAGGAAAATTGTTTGTAAGACTGCAAATATAGGTGGAATTGTTCTCTGTCATCACTACGACTGCGCATCTAGACCTTGTGTACGCGCATCTTACATAAGTCTGAAATACGGCACAACAAAAATTTGTTTAGATACTGACACGTGTGTAAATAAAAGAATAACTCGAAATGATGTAGATCCTTAGTCATGGAATCCTGAATGTATATGATTTATTTTTAATAATTTGTATTTGCCACTTTCAGTGCAAGAACGATCGTTGACATTTTATCATATCCCGTAATTCATTAAAAACTTTGACTAAATGGCTCAAACGCAACCTCGATGTTAGCTCCCAGGTTATTTGGAAGTCGATAGGATTTCTCGTAGCCTATTTGTGAGTGCTGTTTGAGAAATCAGAATCCTCATACTTGAAATCAGAGGAAATTATCAAGTAGTGATCTAACGAATCCATAAGCTCATGACTTCTGCAAACACTAATGAATTGCTGGAAATAAAAAGGTAGATGATTTAGTACCGTACTTTTTGTTGGCATGGTGAGCATGAAAGTTGCAGGCAATTCTGTTCAACGTATTTTTATATTTTCACGGTAAGTTCATATTTTAAAGAAAGCCTTTCTTACTCACAGTAAACTGTTAGGTTGAGATTTGCTCTGTTTATCATTTGTAAGCTATCACTCTGCTGCGAGTCAGTATTGCACTATGCTTTATAAATGTCAGTTGCATTACTCCTCGTTTACAATTGTCAATAAACCTCTCCCTACTTCTAACATACGAAAACAAAATACGTCAATAAACAAAAATACTTTTTTAAAATTTTAGATTAACTGTGTACACTGGCGGCGGTGATTCCAATAAATGCGTCGTCATGTTAAAAAACTTCCAAAACCAGCAAGCTGAGCTGATCATAAGGCGTATTGTTGATCTACATCAGCCCACCGACCTTCATAGCCAACACACTCTTAGCGCAGGGTTGCAAGTCGTTGCAAGATCGGAAGGTCCCTCTGTTACCTGATCCCTAAATACTTGGCGTTCAACTTAAAAAAAGGGGACAAAACGAACTCAGCCGAGCAGACTGGGACATTCGCTTGCAGAAAAACACAATGAATGAATGAATCTCAAACCTTGGGCTTCCGACCACACAAGCTAGACGTCCAGTAAGTATGGCCAGCGTTTTACTTCTTGCACAACGTAAGCCGGCGCGGCTCGGTAGCCGTCAGCTTTCCTGAGTGGCGGACTCTCGTCGAAGAATCTACCTTCCCTCCGGAGAAAACGAATGTACTCGGGGTCGTGCTTTTCGGCAAAATCTGCCCAGCGAATTCCGTCGTCTCTCTGAGAGGACGCCAGTTTGATCTGAATACCCGAGATACTGAAACACCAGGAGCAGTGCCAACCGGCATACTTAGGCGAAACACCTTTTATCGTCCAATGAGTCCATACTGTTCCAGTGCTAGTTTTAGTGGGCTGAATGACGCGAAAAGGTTTGTTTTTTCGCACAAGGTTTGAGTCGTCTCCGTACACGTCTCGAAGGTAACCCACGGTGCAGACGCTAGTCACGATGACTGGCCTGTCATTCTCCCAGAAGAAGCCATAGAGGAACCACCGGAGTCCAAAAGCGACCGGTTCTCCGTAACCGTCGTGGTACTTGAGGAAGAGCATCACCTCCCTGCTGGGAATTTCGTCTGCGTCGCCTATCATGAAGAGGTCGTCGTCATGCAGATTCTTGAACCGATGACGGCCCTCCTGCCAGAGAAGACTTCGGATGTTAGTCTCGGGTGCCCAAGGATCTTTGTACATGCCGTAATTGGTTTCGCTCGTCAGGAGGATGATCTTGTTTCTGTGCTCTGAGAGAAATCCAGCGGAGAGATTGGAGCTGAGGTAGAGCGGCTTGGGACTGCCGAAATTAGTATAGCTGGACTCGCACACCACATAGTAGTCCACTGCGTCACCCAAAACGTGAATCCTGATGTCCAGCAAGTCCATCTCGTGGTTGAACATAAAGGAACTAATTATTGTGCGAGGTATGAGGCGGCGTTTGATGAGGCCTTGGGAATGCAGACTTCGAAAAACAGGGTCCTCCCATACGACCTGCGGTACTGAGCAGGTGTCTCCGTTCCACCCGTCTAGGCACACGCAAGAATACTTGCTCACCGATTTGTTGGTTCCGTAGGAGAAGCAGGGTTCACTGTCGGCACTCGGCATCGACTTGTACCGCTCTTGGTTTGCGTGTTTTCTCCGGGTATCGCCGATAATCTCCGCGGGACTGTTTTGCCTAAAAAATTGACCGCTTGTACCTAATTGCGAAATCCGGAACGCGGTGAAGATGTAGATAATTAACGTTAGCAGAGAAACAAACACGAATATCAGTTTTACGTTGGCACAAGCGGCTGCGAATGCAGTCCGACTCCCCTGCTGTGCTGCCATCGTATCCCCAAACTGAACCATTCCATTTCGGTGCCGCGGCACAGATGTTTCGTTGAGAGTAGAGAGCACGTGATCCAGTTTGCAACAACGTAATAAACTCCAGTACACGTTTTTATTTATGTTCTGGATTTTTCGATGCTTGCGTTGTGGAGTTGTTCTTTTTACAACAAGGCAATGAGTATTACGCAGCTCGAGGTTTTAAAAGGGCACAGGGAGTGTCAATACCATAAAACAACTGACTACCTGTTGTTGCTTTTTTGCGAACACAAATAAAATGCCCGGTGTCTGATAGGAAGAAGGAAATAAGCGTGATTATGTGCCCACACTGCCCAGGGCGCCCCATGCCAAGATAACCGATAATCAATGGGCGACGGAACAAAGGGAGGAGCTCTTGTAACGTTCCCCCCTCCCCCACTTACACACACACTTCAGGACTTGTGTAGCCAAAGCATCAGTTTAGATTGGAAACATGTTCATATTGTACAATCCTTATTTACCCATGTGTCAGTGACTTGGCGTAACCGAAGAGACCGCACTCTGCTTCTTTTTTTTTTAGTTTTACTCACCCAACAAAAGAATTCACACAAACCGTAGCAAGGAGTTTCCTCTGTGAGCATGAGAATGAACGGAATCATTGTCGTCTACATTTCACCAAAAAACGCGAAAATTTTATGCTACAAGCGCTGTTAGGAACAAAGAAGCTCTAAGTAATAGTGATTATAAAGATTTAAAAAAAGCAAACAAAGTTGTGGTTATTCATTTCCCGCACGTTGCTGTAACGAGAGCCAGTCACGAGATAAATAATATAAAAAAAGCATATCTACTTTTAATTACCTATACTCAACTATATCTCAAGTCCGACCGTAAGGGAAGTTACGAGCCATTCTAGCCAGTCCAGTTCTGTGAGCGTAGAATGTGACACGCTCTCCGCCGTCACTGCGTCCCTTCTACGTAGTCACCTTAAAGGGCGATTTACACACACACCTGCGTGAATTCGACCGAGTGCGACTGCAACAGCTTCCAACGTACGGGTTGCTATAGCAACAGCTCCGTCGGCTCCAACTAAACGGGCTAAAAACCGGTTTCGTTGGAGGCGACGGAGCTGTTGCTATAGCAACCCTCGCTCTTAGTCGGACTTAACGGAAGTGTGTGAATCGCCCTTAACACTCACACGGCATTGTGTTGGCTTCCATGACTCGAGTATAAAGAACGTTCGCACAATCATGTTTTATTGAATAAGTAAGATTTATATTAATTTAAGTCAGATTTTCTTTAAATCAAAATTGTTTTATATCCGATTTGCATGGCTTAAATTACGGTATCTACAAAATGATGTTTTCCTTTTTTTGTTGCCGATGTATTTTTTCTTTTAAACATGGACGATTGATTGTTGAAGGCTTCGAATTAAAGTCTCTTGATACTTCTTTTACAAGTAACGACAACCAATAAAAATGACAAAGCATATTCCGCTGGAACAAAATGGCGGCATTCAGTTGCAACCTCTGCTGTGCGCCGCCATTCGCTTCCTAAAATCTGCACCGTCACGAAGTCGGCGCTTCAAAGAATGTCGCTACTTGTAGGAAGCTCTTATCTAGAGACTTTAGTTCAAACCACTGAAATCTTAAAACAGTGTGAAAAAACATTCGGTGTAAATCTATACGTGCCTTAGAGTAGTAGAGTTTAGTAAGGAACTTTCTATCCTTTACGTAAACACCACGTCTTGTTAGGATGGAAGTAGCCGGATTGTTTTACGTAGTAAAACACTTTATTTTCTGTTATCCACCAACAAATCCGAGCATGAGACGACGGGGTTCCAATCTTTTTCCACAATTTCCCTTTAAAGCTTCAAGAAGAAATGTTTTCCGTCGGTTTCCGGCTGATTGCGCAACTGTTTGTTCAAGCAAAATATGAGTACACTCCTGGCAGCAACAAAAGTGCAAACAAAAAAAAAAAACAACAAAAAAACTCTTCTACAATTTAGAATTGTGGCTTTTGAACTTGAACACAGTTTGCCAGTTTACCAATGGCTCCTCGGCAATGTTTATTTTTTAATTATTTAATGTTCGCAAGCAGAAGTATGGTCTCATGAAGCATGTGGGACGAATATATAAGACAGAACGGGTATACTAGCCGAAGTAAGATCAAGCTGACCCGTGGCTCATCTGTCTCTGACAAAATTTTTTTATCTGCATCTGCCGATATGAATTTGCGTACATGAGCATGAACGCCTAATTTTTTTGTTTTAATTTTTTTTTGTGTGTTTGGTACGCATTACTTGCAATAAGACACCCAGTGACTTAGCGACCAAGCAGAAGTAGAAACACAGCTGAACGCTACGATTCGCTCAGAAGACCACTCCTTCCTGTTTATGTCCAGCCTGGCACAAATCTTTCTCGATATTTTTTTTCTTTATTAAAAAGGTCATATTAACATGAAAGACTCAAATGATAGGAAAACTGTGAGCAAGTATACATTATAAAATGTTGTTTTTGTGAAGGAATAATTAAAATTACTATATTAAAACCCATGTAATATAAATCACGTTTTAAACCATTATTCATATGATCTCTATTGTTATTTACCACCTTGAAGAAAACGTGGCGGGCATAGCTACGCGCACCTATAGTATTTGTTCTCTGCATGCATATAGCTTCCGAAATTTGTGACCGAGTTCTCTCAAGAAAGGTTGTTTATTTGCATAAAACATTGTACACCTCTTTTGTTTTGTTTTTTGCGAGATATTTGTAACGGAGTATTCGAGGCTCCAGTCAAATCAACGCCGCATAACGGCAGTGTCGAGAAGCTCCAAAAGGAGGTGCCTTCGCTTCTTGGTTTTCGCCGACAACGTAACTTCACTTTCTTGCTTATTAAAGGGGCACGGAAACGAAATGACGTGGTTGCGAGCTCTCGACCTCTCGCTTCAAAATTAGCCGCCGAGAAGCGGCATGCCATACGCTCGTGACGTCAAAGGCCTCCGCACGTCCAACCACACTGTAGTTAATTGCGGGTATATCCACTTGGTGGCGTCAACGCGTGATAATCTCGCCTGATACTGATATTCGAGGACTGTACGCCCCTATACATAGCTCTTCCATGAAATCCTTTGCGGCCATGCCGGTATTTGATGTGCATTCGGTTCACCGCGTTAGTTTCCCAACACAGAATTAGGAGGTGGAGGTAACCAGTAAGTAGACATAACCGTCAGTACCCAGCAATGGCAACACCTGAAAGCTATGTATATAGGGTATTCGCCGGATTCAATATTTGGGTGCGTTGTTCACAGCGCATCCGGAGGACATAGAGGGGGAGGGAGACATGGTTGGCTTGGCAGAGGTCTCCGCATCTTCAGATTAAGCTCCTACCTATGGACTGCTAAGAATGGCGATCTTGGTGGTGTGGAATGCACGTTGCGGAAGCACTGCGGAAGCTTCGCGACTCCGTTCATGCCCGAGTTGTCTATACGTTTGCGCTGTACTTCCGCGAGTGGCGCTGGTGCGGGAGGCATTCAACGTCATAACCACATCGGCCTCCCAACAACAAGGTGGTACTGAGAACTCGTTTCGTTTGTTTTAAATTTATTATTTTGCGTTTACAAACGAAATACTTCTGTTTCTGAGGTGCTGATTAACATAGTTTCTGGTAAAACAAAGAGATAAGAGATAAAATTTAGTTTCTGTACGCCTTTAAGATGACTCTGATCTAATCACACGCTTCGTGCTCAAGGAATGGCGACCACCTGCACTCTAAGAAAAAGTGAGCACCCCGCCTAGTCATCGTGCGTTTTGACGGCTGTAACTACCCCACAGGCTTACCTAACTACCCACTGGGCTCGAGCCATTGAGAGTTAGCACCCTGTTGGAAGGTGACAAGCATGGGGTAGTCACGTTTTATAAACTCTTGAATTGAACATTCAAGTGCATGCAGTCGTTTAATAGTAAAAGTCACTTCAAAAATCTCAAAAAGTACTTAAAACTTGTTTTCTTTGTGCGTTGGTTATTATTTATTCAAATTTAAACCGCTCGAAACAAGCGTCTGGCTCATTTCGCCTAAACTGGCAGAAAACAAACAAGTACAGGCAACTTTGGTACGCACCTACTAAAACCCGAGGCAGATAAAAAGTATCGCGGTTGTCCTTTTTGGTTCCGTCGCGGGTTTTACGATATACAACAGTAAACAACAGCTGGCAGCTGGCGTCGTGCTCGAGGAATTTAACCAAATCTCTAGAAAAGCACAGAAAGCTACGCACAGGCGTGAGTTGACTTGAATGTTCGTCGGACGAGATACTCTTGTCGTCTTTTATTGTGCGGTTCAGTAAAGAGCGTGCTTTCAATAAAGGTGTGATCGGTCAGTTCTGCGTGCAGTTCAGTTGCAAGTGGCCTCCTCGGTTCCGCCCGTTCCGCCGAACTTGCGCTCCTGTCGTACCCAATTTTTTTGCTTGCAAGTGCAGTGAAGTATGAAGCATTGCACACCACGACTCAGGCCGGACGGGACGAACCTACACAGATATCTGCGATCATGTTCGTGTATTTCACTATTTCTCTGTCTCGGGATACATGATTCGCCTTCACTGGCTCATTTGGCACATTTCATCGAGCATACTCGATAAAAAAAAAAAAAAAAGCTCAAACAAGTATGTGTCATCCAAGGCGGAGTACTTCGAAAGGGACTAGGATTTCAGGCCTTCCAGCACGCGTTCCTTTTATCTATATAAAAGATTCCAAGTAAATTTCCAAAAATAATGCATTGGCAAACATATACGTGCTATTTGTTTTAGAATTTTTTTTTTTTAGAAAAAGTATTGCTGGAGACGACAGCAGGTGCAGCGCAGAGAACTATGTTCTCGGCGTTCTTTGATGCTCAACAGCTCATTCACACTGGAAGCGGATCCGCATTCGCAAAGCGGTTGTGAGCGCGGTTGTATAAAGATCCAGTCCAATTGCACGCGCACTTGATGTCATGGAGTGCGCGTGCAATCGTACTGGATATTTATACAACCGCGTTCGCAACCGCTTTGCAAACGCGGATCCGCTTCCAGTGTGAATGAGCGGTAAGGCCGGTTCAGACACTTGCGTTTGAATGAGTTTGACAGCTTTGCGTCGAGAACCGAAAGCGACTCACCGGCACGACTGTGCTTCGTATGAAGCGTGGAATCCAATGGACTTCTTCCAAAACCGACGCGCCCCATCGTGGCGAAATACCACGCAGTGCACTCTGGGAACTAGTTGGCCACTCAGTTTCGGTTTCGACTGAGCAGCTTCACCTCATGCTATCACGCCGCGACCGAACGCGCTGCTTGCGTTTTCGATTACCCGACTTTTCACAAACGTACAATACACTCATTCTCGAGCGATGCAAAACGAAGGCCGGGGCACTTTCCTTGGTTCCCGAACCACCGGATATTATAACTCCGTATGAACGTAGTAAGACATGGCTTCGTCACCTCACCCCACGAGTGCATCTTTGAGTTCAATTTCAATAATCCCGTCTAGTACCAGTAAACTACAACTGAAATTTCGTCACATGGAGCCTTACACGTATTTTGTTTGCCAAACGTCCGCTTCTTGTTACTTCATTGGGCGAAAAGCAAGCCGCTTCCTCACAGGAGTATCAAAGTTGGGCCCAGCGTTGACGCATAAACTTTTAAGGAAACGCAATAAATTCGACCTCACTACTGCACAAAAGTTACTATGATGTCTTCCTCATGTCATCGTATATCTCCCACTCAAATTTTATGCTGATAGAAGATTAAGTTTAAGCAAACGCTGAGATCGGCGAGCTACGACGGAGGCCCTAACAAGCGTCCCCTACTCCTGGCTAAGCATTTTTGGACGAGCTTTTACTGACGCCCAAGATGTGTGCCTGAACGGTGTGCCTGAAATTATCTCGGCATACTCAGGCAGGAAGAAAGCAAACACGTAACAAATATTATGGCCATTAACAACCGTCAAATGCGCTTTGAATAATTTCGTTCGTTTGGCGCACCGCATTGGGGTTCATACCCGTCCGGTGCACTTCCAGCGAACGGTGCAACATTCTTCACATAAGTGCTCGACTTTTGCTTTCTTGAAACGTTTTGTATGTGCGAATGTGCTTATATGATTGCAGGATAACTTTATGCGCATATGCTGTGTTGAATATTAGTGGAATTCAAGCGGGTGGAGACTTCACTTCGTGCAGTGCTGCGTGTCAGTACAGATAAGAGATAAGAAGTGTGTTAAAACTGAGCTTTTCAATTGCGCCTCCGAGTTTTACCTCGCGTACTCAGGCGTATTAAGAAAAACAGTAATTGCAAAAAGTCATATTTTGTCTATGGACGCATGAAAAAACAAACAAAAAAACGTCCTGATCAACAACACTAATGTAAAGGCGCGAGCTCGATGTATGCATACTTATTGGTTGCTACAGCTTGTTGATTCGTACACAAGCAAGATCCCCGAGCTTCGCAGCATCGAGATTCCCAGCACCGGCTCGTCCACATACCTCGATTGGAACGCTAACGGAAAGGCTGAAGTACAAAAATACAACACGCATGTGTTAAGACAAGCTACACGTCTCGGGCTTGTGCTAAAGCTTCGAGGTCTGGCCATTTAGGTTAGAGTAGAGACCACAAATGACGCTCTCGGGACCAGAAAACATAAAATAACGGCTGTTTTTAGTACACGCTCTGTGTATAATCTCTTGTCGACGTGTCGATCGAAACCGAAACCATGTCACTCTCCTCCCTGGCCAACTAGTTCCCAGAGTGCAACGCGCGCCGTGTTGCATGCATGGCTTTATGGAAGTAGTCTATTCAAGGAATCATCTTCGCACGCGATGTAAGCAGCAGGGATGCCCTGGTTTCTCGCTGCCGCAACGCAGTCAGACGCAGTCAAACGCCACTGTCTGAACCAGGCTTTACATAATTTAGCATACGTATTTCGCGTTCGTTGCAGGTGAAGACACGGGCCCGAAAGCGGCAATTCTGCACTGTCCTCTTGGCGCGAGCGCATAGAACGCATATTTGAAAGACACACGCTTGAGCAGAAACAATTGTAGCGAAAAGAAGAAAACTGAAACAACGCTTCGGGGAGGACCGGCGGACGGGCTTCGCTAGAATCACCTGCGCGCGCTCAGTGTACTCAACATTTACTCAACCGCCGCTGAAGTCATTCGGATATGTAAAAAGAGAAAAGAAAATGCATCAGCGTGTTCAGAAAGTTGTGATTGCAGAAATTGTTTTCGATAATTAATACAATCAATTAAACAGGCTTCTGTATACTTAAAGTGTAGGCTAGCGAGAAAACGAAACTGATCAAAACGTGACGTGTAGCAACTATTCAAATTTATTCATGACCTGCAGTTCACTTTTGCAATAGATTACATTAGAGATACGAGCGCTTTCCTAAGGGCAGTAGAGGAAAATAATATATACGCGTAAACCTTGCACAGTCTTTTCGTATTTATGCAAAATATGACAGTGGTCACCATCCTAATCGGTCACAGAAAATACAGCAGTATATAAGGTGGCGGTGTCGACTAGACGTATATATAGGAATGCAGAGTGTCAATATCTCATATAGTACCTTGTGCTGTGTCTGAACGCGTTCCTGTGTAGAATGCTATGGTGTCTGTATGTAGGGTATGTGTGAAGTGTGTAGTAGAATATGTACAGTCGGGAGCAAAAGTTTGCGGGGCACGGGAGCGCGTGCCGAAAGGCATCGCCGCGCCGTGCGACGGCGATCTGCCGCATTAAAAAGCCACGCTTTGCGCATGCGCGCCCTTCGTGCTGGCAGTCATGTCTCTTTCGCTCGTTTCTGTCCGACTCACTCCTGATAACCGGAGTCGGCGCCAGGGGCGCAAGTTGCCGTTGCGCTGGCTGTCATGCCTTGCGTCCTCTTCAGCTGCCTCAGCAGCCGCGCTGGGTGAAGGAGCGCCTGGTTACCCCCCCCCCCCCCCCCCTCTCTTCCCCGTACGCGACCTCCATGACAAAGCGCGGTGGCTGAGGCGGCTGAAGCAGACGCACAACATGACAACCAGCGAAGCGCTAACCCGCGCCCCTGGCGCCGACTCCTGTTATCAGGAGGGCGTCGAAAAGAAACGAGCGAAAGAGACATGATTGCGAGCACGAAAGACGCGCATGCGCAAAGCGCGTCTCCTTAATGCGGCGGCGCGCCGTCGGACGGCGCGGCGATGCATTTCGGCACGCGCTCCCGTGCCCCGCAAACTTTTGCTCCCGACTGTACATACGTGAATGTCTGACGAAGCGCTGAACATAAAGACTGTTGATTTCGTTTTTTTTTCTAGTTTGAGCCCTCTCCGTTAGGTGGCGCGTGGCGCCGCCCAATTCAAGGAGTCGCGCGTTTATGTGTCTACTTATTTGAGTGAAAAACATGGAGGCGTTCCATGGCTCGACGGAGCAGCCCCAAAGGGTTCGGTTCTCAGCCTCTCGTCCCAGTGGGATCAGTCTCATAGCCAGTTGAATGGGTGTTCCGTGCGGTGAATAGCGCGAAGTGCGTGCACGAACGCGGTGAGGATTACCAGGGACTTGGAAGTGGATAACGAATGCTAACAGGTGAGCAGGAGCATTGAACGATCGGAACCGACGCCGCTTAAATCGGTGATGCTTCGCCTCACCGCGCTGTCAACCGAAACCGCCGGGTCACTTGCGGCAAGCACAGCAAGGAGACGCTCTGTTCAATAAAGATATCATTCCATTTGTCGCTATACGATTCCTTTCTTGAATGTTTTCTGGCCGCGAAGTAAATGCAGCCGGCCGCGCGAAAGCAGTCGCGGACAACCCCCTCAAATGCCTGCCCCCCCCCCCCCCCCCCCCTTTCTTTCACATCGTCGCCTCTACTCGTAATACGTGCGGTGTCCGTGGTTCGAGGCGCGTTTTGGAGTGCTTCAGTGCGCACGGAAGGCCGCGAACGGGCGCACGCACTTGAGAATCGTATTTTAGCAAAAAGCAGTCCAACTCGCTAGGCCTTACTCGTACTGCTCCACTGTCGCTTGCCAGCCGCCATGTTGCTTTTGGGGGTGCTCACTTTGGCAACCTGTTGATTGCGTGCCGTGTGATTACCCGTGGGGTTGTCAGTATAACGAAGGTGGGGTAGCGATATCTGTGACGGCTTCTGACTACCCCAAAGCTAGTACCCCACGACAACCCTTTTGTTGAGAGTGTGTGTTGCTTGATCGACTTTGCAAAAAAGTATATTGATAATCGAGATTTCATACAGATCTCAGAGGGGTAACAAGCAGGGCTGAACAATCCGAGCAATTTTGTAAAGCGTATCTTGATTTAATTAACGGTAAAGTATATTTGTTCACTCCCCGTGCCAAAATTAGTCACGGCTGAAAATTGAATTTGAGTTTACATTTGCTCGGTTTATTATTAAATTGATCGTAGCGTTTTAGAAAATCATTCGTTTTTAAATAAATATTAATTTGCACTTTATTTTCTTTCCCGCTAACTCTTTCACGCCTACATATATCAAAGCACAACATGTCAAGGAACAAAAGTCTTTTTTATATTATAACAACATCAACTCCTTCAACGTTTTCCCGCGTGTAGCCGAATCAAGAAGATATGCAGCCATATCGCCAGCTCGCCAACTGTACGGGTAGAGCCACCATAAAACTTTTTGTTGATCTAGTTCAACACCAGTCTTATGACATTCTTTAAGCGCACAATTACAATTAACAGGGTAATCAAAACAATCTTCTGCGACGTCACCCGGTTTGTACAACAACACATGTTTAAACACATGTTGCTGTACAAACCGAGACATTCGTAGTCAAGAAATGCACTCAATGAAACAAGTTCACAACTTGAGCGCTGGTCCACCTTGTGTTAGGGAATCAATAAGTGAAGCCATCGCCTTACGTCTTGCAAAAGGTAGGCAGGAGCAGCTTGGTAGCTGTCGGTGCTCTTGAGCGGCTGACGCTCGTCAAAAAGTTTACCTTCCTTCCTGAGACGCATAATGTACTCAGGATCGCGCTTTTTTGCCAAGTCTCCCCATCGAATTCCGTCGTCTCTCTGAGCCGACATTAGTTTGTGCTGAATTCCCGAAACATTAAAACACCAGGAGCAATGCCAACCGGCGTAGTTTGGCTGCACACCTCTTATCGCCCACGGAGTCCATTGTGTTCCTGTGCTAGTCCCAGCAGGTGGAATATCTCGAGGGTGTTCGTTCCTGCGCACGAGGTTTGAGTCGTCGCCATATACCTCTCGAAGGTAAGCTACAGTGCAGATGCTGGGCACTATAGATGGCAAGTAGTTCTCCCAGAAAAAGCCGTAGAAGAACCACCGGAGGTACAACACGATCGGCTCTCTGTAACCATCGTGGTACTTTAGAAAGAGCATCACCTCCCTACTGGGAATTTCGTCCGCGTCGTTTAGCATGAGGAGGTCGTCGTCACGCAGATTCTTGAACCGATGCCGGCCCTCCTTCCACAGAAGACTTCGGAGGTTATTCTCTGGCGCCCAATGATCTTTGTCTATTGCGTAATTGAATCCGCTCTTCAGGAGGACGATTTTGTGTCTGTGCTCCGAGAGGAACCCAGCAGAGAGATTGGAGCTGAGGTAGAGCTGCTTGGGGCTACCAAACAAAGTGTAGTTGGACTCGCACACCACGTAGTAGTCTACCGTGTCACCCAAAACATGAATCCGGATGTCTAACATGTCAATCTCGTGGTTGAACATAAACAAATTGATGATCATGCGAGGTCGAGGACGGCGCTTGATGATACCTTGAGCGTACCATCTTCGAACACCGCGGTCCATCCATAGGACCTGAGGCACTGAGCAAGTATCTCCGTTCCAGCCCTGTAGACACACGCAAGAATTATTGCTTACAGATGCGTTTGTTCCGTAAGCGAAACAAGATCCACCGTTGGCATTCGGCATGAGCTTCTCGCCGTCTTGCTTCGGGCGTTCCTTCCGGGCTAGGCTGATGACCTCCGCAGCACCATCTTGAGTCAGAGCGTAAACTATTCGGCCGAATTGTGAGAAACGTAAAGCAAGGAAGGTACAGAATATTAACGTCAGCAGCGAAAGAAAAACGAGTACGAACTTCACGCTGGCAAACGCGAACGCGGACGTACGTTTACACTGTGCTGCCATGATGTCGCGATTCCGAGATTTTTCATGGGGAACTGTGGTAGAGGTGTTCTTTGCCAAAAGAAGACCTTATGTTTTGCATGACATTGAGTGGACTGGAGGTTTCGGTCTCGTCGTCGTCATTTCTGAATTGCAAAGTAGCGCGTCAGCTCGCGCCGAGAAGTTTGGTCAGGCTGCGATCCAGAGCGGCATCCATGAAGTGGCCATAATAAACATATATCTTTAGTGCTTGGTAATCGGCCGCCGGACTACCTTATCACTTAAAATTTGTAGGAGCTCTACTTGAATACTGTTACGGTTTGATTACAATGATAATTGGAAAAAACGTGGACGACAAAGATAAGGAGCACGAGAAGAGCACGAGCTCGGGGAGTGTGACACTGAGCGGCGTTTCTGCCACGACCTGCCACGGTCGTGGTTTCTGCAAGCCGGGAGACTCACCGCAATGAACGGTTGTACTAGCGCCCGACAGCTGCCACGGCCAGCTAGGTGCTTTACAGGGTCGACGAGGCCGTCGCCAGACTAGGACGACTGGGGCTGCCATGTATAGCGCCTGGGGAAGCTCCAACACCTTGGGTTCTCGTACCTGAGCAAGGCGAAGGCGCCGGCCTTATTGGGGACCCGCAGCCAGACGGACTCGTGGGCGAAGCGTCGAGACCCAATGTGACTGTGACTGCGACCATACACTTGCTTGTTTCATCAAGTGTACGTTCAATTTGTCTAGTTATTTGTTTCCCTCCAATTTATTCTTCATTTTCCAACGACTTTTTTTATTACTTTAATTTTACGTTGCTGTAAATAGACAACTTATCCCCGATTTCCGCAATCCACATGTACTCTGTCTTTCTCTTTCCCAGACGGGCGTGACAAATATCCATTCGTGTGGTCATAAAGGAATATTTCGCTAAGTAACCTTAGGGTCGACGGCAAATCAACTAGCGATCCTCCGCGCCTGTCATGTTATCGCGATCCAAGAGCGCAGGCTAATTCGCCGATTACAAAGGGTCCCACGTTTAACGCAGGGGTGCACAACTAAAAAATTATGCGGGCCAAAATTATGATTATTGCAAACTGTGCGGGCCGCACCTGGTGCGACGTTCAGCATATTTTGGCTGCGGTCAGGCTTCCGATATCAGGTGCCATCGCACTCGTTGCTGTCTTTAGCACTATTCGCAATCTCATGTTCGTCATGGCAGATCGAAGGCGGTTCTTGCTGAGAGTCATCAGTGAGAAGGTCTGCTCACAAACATAAAGGTTCCTGGAAAATGACATCAGTTTCAAGGCGTGGTTCACGAGGTTTCCATACTTGCTCTTGTTTTGGTTTTTGTAGACCATAAGCTGCGGAGATTCGCGATACATAGTTTTCAGCTCCGGTGAAGACTGGAGGTCGATGAACTTCGGTTGCATCGTCGGATCAGAGTCCTTCGGGGACGCGGAAAAAGTATCGCGGAAAAGGTCGTAGTATGCTTTCTCGACCTCAAGTACCTTGAATCGATGCTGGAACTCAAAGAGAAGGCTCTCAACGTGTGGTGCGTATGTCGTAGTCACCGACTTCTACATTTTCATTGATGGAAGTATGTTCCTGACAGGTTGCAAAGTGTGCTAAATTTCCAGTTTGAATCTGCGATGTGAACAGGCGCAAATTTTCTTGGAATTCGAAGATTGTACTTACCAAACGCGAAATGAAGCTGTCGTTTCATTAAAGAGCTGTGTTGAGCGTATTTAGGTTGCATGAAATATTTGTGAGAAATACCAAATGCTTAGCCGCTGGTCATCTTCCAGCTCTGGTGTTTGCTTCCCTTCTTCGAGCAAGAAAGCGATGATCTTGTCCTTGAGAACTACGAAACGACTCAGAACATTCCTACGGCTCAGCCAGCGAACTTCGGTGTGATACAGGATATCCTTGTGCTTGTTCGCCATTTCTTTAAGGTACTCTTGCAGCTTTATATAACGCATAAAGCTGACAACCAACGTGACGACTCTCATCGCATGTTCGAACTTCATCATTTTGGCACAAAGCGCTTTCTGGTGCCGTACGCAGTGATATTGCTTCAGTTCCACGCCAGTATACGTTTGGAGTAAAGCAACCGCTCCATTTCTTTGCCCAATCATAGCTGGGGCTCCATCGGTGCATACACCTGCGAGTTTTTCCCACGCTAGCTCGGGCGTATTGACGACGTCTTTGACCTCCTTGCTTATCTCTTCTCCAGTAGTCCGCCCATGCATTGAACAAAGCTCTGCCAGTTCCTGAGTTACCTCCAAGTTTTCATTGACACCACAGATGAAAACAAGCAGTTTAGTAGTATCCTCGACATATGTCATCCAAAGCAAGGTGCACAAAATGACCGCAGCTCTTCTCCAGCTGTTTTCATAGGTCGTCTGCTTTATCGTGTACACGTCGCTAAACTGTAAATCTTGATAAGCTCAGATTTTGGAAAAGTGACTTCGTGTCCGGGCACATTTCTTCAGAAGCAACCAGAAGGCACTTTTTTACGCAGTCATCATCAGTAAACGGAATACTTAAACAAGATATCTGTCGAGATATTCGAAAACAAGCCCTCGCAGCTGCTTCAAGCGTGTTTTTTGCTTTTGTAATAATTTTTTGCTCAGCAGGTAACTTCCACTTTTAGTTCTCAGATTTCGTTAGCCTCTCAGAATCTGAAAGGGCGCTGAAATCGCGGGCGTGTTTGGTCTCGCAGTGGCCACGGATGTTGTACTCGTTAGGCACGGCGAGAGACTCGCGACAAACAAGGCAGATGCACTTTGATGTATTCTCAATGAAGAAGTTCCTGTATGTCCACTCGTGATTGAACTTCCGGCCCTCCTGGTCGATTTTCCTCTTCTTTGGAAGAGCACTCATAATTCACGACCAACAAGCTTCTTTCAACAAAAGCAGGATCCCATCTCGTATTTTCCCCTTTTGCATTGACCTGGCATTGTTCATGTGGATGGATGAGCGGATCGATGGGTGTTAATGGCTATACCCTTGGTAACGGGAGGTAGCTTGCGACACCTAGCCTAAGTCTTAAAACACAAACATATGTTTTCTCCCGCCCGTTTTATCCAATTTTTTTTCCAGCTAACTATCCCAACAGGAAGGGAGAGGGTTGATAGGTTACGTGGGGAAAGAGAGAAGGGGTTTTGACGAGAGAGGTCAATAATTCTTCGCGTTCCGTGTAGAAACATTTTCAGACAGAACCACACCATGGATATGGACAGCTGAACACGCTGTCTTATTGATGTCTGCGGGATTAGTGGAGAGAGAAAGTTTGAACTGAGAAATCGTAGTTCCTTCGCTGAAGACTGAGAAAAGTAGGTAAGAGGGTTTCACTGGTGCTTGCCAAGCGGAGCGGGCGCTTGGTGTTTTGAATGGCGTAGTAAGCAACTTTCTGCAATGAGCCGAAACGTGGGCCGGAAACAAAGCACGCGCGGGCCGCATGCGGCCCGTGCGCGCTTTGTTTAAGTATATTTTTATGCTAGCCATGTTAATGAACTATGACTCGTTGTACAATAGAGCGAATGCCATTTTGGTTAATGCTCTTGATTTTCTGCATTTTTCTGTTGTGAATTTGTTTCAACTTTAAAATGGTCCTTTTATGGAAGAACCACATCAAAGCAATTTTTGTTGATAGTTCAAAAACCGTAGGACTTCTCCAATGAAACCTTAGATCTGCACCATCGCCTGTCCGCATGCTGACAAAATACACGCTCCTCAGACCAAAATCGGAATATGCCGCCTCTATCTGGAAGTTTCATTAGGTCTACCTTAACAATCATCTTGAAGCTATTCGAAACAGGGTTACTCGGTTAATTCTCTCCACATACAACCTTTCTGTCAGTGTTTCCGCCTTAACAGGTCAACCAACCTTTGTGCCCCTACAGCTTCGTAGAAAAGCCTCGCAGCTCTGCATTCTTCATACAATTTATTATCATTGTCCCGACCTTGAAACAACCTTATTATCATCTCCCGACTGAACATAATCTCGCCTTAAGAATGCCTGTACCATCAAAGGCATTTCTGGCTCGACAAACGCCTTCAACCCATCATTCCTTCCACAAGCCACCAATGACTGGAGCAGCCTCCAATCTTACATCGTCACCGATGTCGCACAGGAGAAATTCTAGCCTCCTCTTCGATCACATTGTTCGTGCTTTAACACTTGATGCTCTTGAATAGTTACTGATTTATTCTGAATTATTTTTGTGTCTGTATTGCAATGTATGGTATGAATGCCCCTAGCCCCTCCCCATTATGTAATGCCCTAAACGGCCCCTTGTGGCACGTTCACACTGAAAGCGGATCTACGCGTTCTTATTCGCAAAGCGGCTGAGATCGAGAGCGGTCGGAGCGCGTTTTTGCCAACCGCTTTCGCGAACCACGACGCTGACGTGACGTCGGTGGCTCTCGAAACGAGGTGGCATCTGTCGCTCGTGAGGCCTCCAAGGTGTGGTACTCCTAGCGTTGCAGGAAGAAGAAACGCGATGTTCATGTCCATCACTTAAATCAGCCGCGAGAATATTTGATTCCTAATATTAACGTGCTTCGCACCGGTGATTTGGTTCGGGTTAGAGTATGTTTATTATTCGGGTTGCCAAAGCCCGTCACCTGCTGCCTGTTAGTCTCTGCCCGTCGAATGTCGGAATCCGCCCCTTATCGACTGAAATGGCACCTGTCGTACACACTAAGTCAGTCGCGTAAACTACTGAAAGCCTTCGACACCATGCATGACCACCACAAAGGCGGATAGAGACGTCATGAGCCTCATTCCGTAGCCAAAACACTACCGCGTAGCTGGCAAAGTACCTGCGCTAGCTCGACCTGTAACGTTTACTACTACCAAACGGAATAAATAGAACCTACCGAAGAAATAAAATCTACGTACTAGACATTCCATAGATAATCCATACGGCGTTTATTTGAACTTAACGTTAAAGAAACACTAGACTCCATCGTCGTACAAGTGACGAGAGGAGAGTCCGCCTCCATGCGAAGACACGACCGG